CGAAGTTTGTGTTAATTTTGCACTGAGCCAAGCGGTCTGTGCCACTTTGCTTTTAGAGTTTACTTATTCATTTTGAGCCCTTTTGTCGAATTCCGGTATTTTGTAGAATACTCGAAAAAGACTATCGGTTTCATTCCCATTTATAATAATTCGGGAGATATACTTCCTGTAACAAAATATCTCAGAATAAATTACGAATGGAATCTATAGATGAGAAACGTCCAATTAATGAAATGCTATTATGACAAACAAACCACAAAAGATTTCATATGTTTGCGTGTAAAATTTTCAGAGATATCGTAATTCATTATTTCATGGGATGAACTTAAAAGGTCAATAACGTTTATATATTATATAAAGTCATTAATCAACAAAAATGAAAAACTTTTAAAAAAATTTTGTTTACAAAAATAATCGAAAAGTTTTTAAATTTGACCTTTAATATGTGTTGAAAAGCATTCTAAGCAGATGAATTTGTTCTGTATATCTGCGCAAATATTGCATGTAAAAGTACCATATTTTGTGTTTGATTTATGAAAATATAATGAACATCTCTCTATTCGACGCCTTCTCTACGGTGATCATAAAGAAAAAAATTTGAAAGCTTTCCTATTTTATATCACGGCCAAAGGGAAATAAATATTTGTCATTTACATACACATACACGTTTCGAGAGCATTTGGGCTAATGTTCCTTTTGACTAAAAATATTAAAAATGGCCTATCTTTAGAATTTTCGATAGACAGTCTCGCGCGCTGAACATAAAAATGTTTTTTTCCGTACAGTGTTGGCACTCCTCGCTTTGAAATCGTTGAGTTTGTTAATCAAAAAGTCGTTATTTTTTTTTTTTTTTTTTTTTTTTACAAAATATGAAATAGACAATAAAACAAATTCGAAATTCAAAATTCGGTTTCCGTTGTTTTTCACAGTGCGAAAAACACGCATACATTCATGCAAATTCTTCATTATTTATTTTTTTTTTTTTTTTTTTACGTATAATACAGGGCGATAGTATTTTGCGGCAACAGTTTGAAAAGTGATTCAGACTTTGATTCAACGCAAAATCCCGTTTTGAGACTAATAGCCCTTTTGGGCTAACGCTGCTTTGGGCTAAAAAAAAATTAAATTTTGTATTTACAAACCTTTTACCAAGGGCCGGTGCAACCATTGTAATCGCACGGAGCGGAGAAAGCCTAACGCGGCTCAGCTTGAAGAACTAATGAACATTTCAGTGATTAAAATTTTTGCTTAACATTGATCAAACAAACAATTAAATTGTATATTTAGAAAACTTTTATCTGTAAGCATTGTATCTGAGACAAAAAATTCATTAAAATATTTTATTTTTGAAATTGTGCACGTCAAAAAGGGAAATCATGCAAATTAAAAAAGTGTGAATTTGTTTCACTGTAGTAATAGTTCAGCAATACAAAACTGTATGTGGAATAGAAAATATACACGTATATATAAACAATTAAAGTCACCCACTTTATTACTAAGAGTTCTTTCTTTATCTTTCAAGATGTCTGTCTCATGAAAAGCTCCATTTAAAATTTGAAGTTTGTGAAATCGAGATGGCTGAACCCTGCTATGAGCATCACATTTAAAAGCACATATTTGGCCTAATGCCCAAATTGAAACCTTAAAGACTTTTTATCTTGTTGGAGTTTGTTTTGTCGAAAGAGGAAAAGGGAAACCTCGTTTTATTTATTTGTCTATCTGTATCTTAAAGTTCCTGACATTTATCATAATCATCATTTTCGTATGACAAGCCTTTCCAGAAAGGGTAACCAATTAGTTCTAGGCAATGATTGAGCGGTTTTCGTAACCCATTCCTCTGGAACGGATGTCACTATGAAGATGTTCCCCCAATCAGTTCCGGTGGGGAGGGAACTCAAGCAGATGTCACTCCCAGCTTCTGCACTTCTCTCGTCGCTGGATGTTTCTTAACACCCTTCAGGGTTCCCGCCTTTCCACCCTTCTACCACCTCCTCCAAGACATTCGCTAATTGCGCTCTAGCATCTCGGCACGTCTCATCGAAGGAAAAACTTCAGCGCGGGCTTTGAATGACATGGTAGCTCTGGAAGGAAAAGCTGAATATGTCAACGCTTGGCTGAGACTTTTCCGTTCTGGAGGAGGGTGAATGGTTGCTGTTTTCTGTCCACGAAGCAATGAGGGAGTTGGATGCTTTTCAACAAAGTAATATAGTGCATAAGGAGCCTATCTGTTGACGCTTTTCTTGGAATGAATGTGAAGAGTCCTAAGACTCGTGTTTCGGATTAGGTTTGGCGTTCGAGTTTCGGAGGCAAAATGAATCTGCCGAGTTATACTCGCACTTAAAGAGAGGGGGGGCAAAGAAAGAGAAACAAAAATTGCCGGTAAGGCCTTTAATTTCACAACTGTTGATCGTAGTAGAATACACTTCCCACTACAAAAATGTTTTGAATGATGCAAGTATTCATGTTTTGTTTCTTTTTTAATGGGAAAAATCAGTTTTTGTAAAAATTAAGGAACCTAACTGTGTATACCACGTTGTTTCTTAAGCCTTATTTAGGAAAATTTGGTATTCATTATAAAAAAAAGTAAAATACAAAAAGTTAAATACGCGTGATACAAAAAAAAAAAAAAAAAAAAAAAAGTCTAAATTACATATTTGTAAAATAAAATGTTCATTCTCTATCCTTCAAAAACAAATTCCTTATGTATTATTCATTTCCAATTAGGAAGTTTGAAATGATCTTCATTTGAGACTTTTGAACCAAAGTTTTTTTGGGCGTGATGAACTTTTTCCAAACCAAGTAGTTAACTGCCATTTTATTTCAGGATCAAAAGCAAAGCAACAAGTTTTATCTGCAGTCACAATTTGCTTGAAAAATTCATGATAAATGTTTGCTTTATAGGAAAATTTAACTGCTATTCCTTACTCTTCTGTCGAATCCTTTGGCGACCTGCAGCCGAGCGGTAAAATCGTTGAACAGTGGTAGTACCGATGAGTTCGATTCCAAGCGAACGGGCAGCTGCATGGGCGTTTTCGTGTTTTTTCGCATATGTAACGTGTACACGTGTGTATATGTAACGTGTTCCCTTAGAATCCCACCACGAAGGTATCCTTTCCCTTAAGTAAATAGCCCTAGTATGCTTTGCCATGATCGGCTAAATGGAAACCTTTAGAGTCTATGTCATCAGATTTTCACTGAGTCAAATCAGTCGATTACCTGCATAGAAAGTTCTGTGCATACGCAGACGATATTTTAGGAAGAGTTAGTTAAGATGTCATAGCAGTAGATGTTGCCAGTTATCATTCGGCAAGTTTGCTGGGATTCGTTTTAAAAAGATTTAGCCTGAAAATTTTTTGTACGCGCACCTCTGCCTGCAAAATATATATTAATATCTTCCTATGGCGCCACCAGAGGCCAAGTGGTTAAGACCGCTGAATGCTGGGAATTTGACTCGAATACGATCCCAGGTGAATGGGATAGTAGCATGGTTGGTTCATGTGGTTTTTTCCCTGTGTAACGTAAATACGAGCCAGTCCACCAAAAATCCTCCACTAAGCGTCCCTTAACCTAGGCATATACCCTCATAGGCTTTACCACATTCGAATAGCCTTATAAGGTATTTCTCCCGCCTTCTTAGCATTCCTTCGTAGTGTAATGGGCAGCAAACTCGGCGCGTCTTCGAGAGGTCCCAAGTTTGACTCTCGCCGAGGGCATTCCTCATTTTTCACGTTTTCTGCTTCCCAAATAACCTAATGTCTCTACAGTGGCGCCCGAACTAAAAAAGGGGGGCGGATGGTGATTCTCCACCACCTGGATTTGGCGACTGGGTTCCCTAATCCCCAGTTGCTCTTTAAAAGGGTGAGTTTATAAGGTATTTCTCCCGCCTTCTTAGCAAGCATTCGTAGTCAGCACGCTCGGCGCGCATTCGAGAGGTCCGAGGTTCAAGTCCTGGCGAGGGCAATGCTCATTTTCATGATTCCTGCTTCAGAAAATCCCTAATCGTCTCCTTATGTTGTCACTGAAGCATGTGTTCAATAACAAGGTTTGAATAGTGAGTTTCTGAAAATAATAAGACTATTATTTAATTACGTAAAGCACAGCACGTTACCTGCGTAACAAGAGGGATATTTTAGTTGAGGACTTTTTAACGGAAACTAGCTCATATTCAACAAGGTTACTATTCTGCTAGGTGGGCTCGTGTGTGATGTTACCGACTCTTAATCAGCTCAAAAGCAACTGCTCACTTTGTAGTTTCTTTCTGCCATTTTTGTAAGTAACTGACGTCAGCGTTGGGAAGAACCAAATGGTGTTTGTCGACTGACCTTGGTATTCAAGTTATACATTGAGGAACTCACGAAAGCTCCCATGCAGCCAGCCCGCTCACCGGGACATGAACTTGAGTCAAACTTTAAAAGTGTTCAGCGATTTTACATTTTAACTGCCACTGATGAACCAAAATATAAGTTACGTACGGGGGATGTTGACTGTACAGTAGTCCTGTGCTCTCCACCGCTTCTAAGAGTGGATTTTTCTTGGAATGTTAGCGAATGGGGTGACAGCCTTTAGAAAATGAAGTCTAAATAAGTAAACCAAATAAAAATAAACGTTTTTGTTTCGGTAGCTATCAAATTTAGCAAGCCAACGGATAATGGAAAAAAAAAATAATAATAGTGTTTTTTCCTCTCATTAACAGTTACTTCTTCAGAAATGTTACGGTTAAACGTGTAATTCAAAAGGCGATTACTCTAACTTTCTTGCATTTAAAAGAAATGTTATACTTAACTGTTTTATTTGCTTGTTTCTTTTCTGCACTCATCATTTCTTTTCGAACTGCAAAATTCTTCCTGTAACTAGTTTTCTACTCCATTTGCTGGATCGCTTAATGCACCGAATGATGAGTCATAGTTCATTTTGGTCGTGAAGTGAAAGAGTTTATTGTTTGGAAATGTAATGACTTCTTTTTCACGATTTCTTATTCTTTTTTTTTTTTTTTTTTTTTTTTTTCAGGTGAGTTCACTTTCATCTGCTTGACGGTTTGCAGTTGTGTATTCCACATAACTCTACGAGTCTGCAAATGTCTCCTTGTAAGTCCCTGCTTCTAAAAATGTGTATTCGTATAGTGTTATATTTTTGTTTAATTTTTCGTAAAGAATTTTTAAAATGTTCTAATCTTCACTGTAGAATTAAATGTGTCAATAATAAATTTTTCGTCTCATTAGTCTTTTAAAAGAATTTCTCTTTAGAAAAGAGAAAGCTTTTTGCAGTCATGAAGTGTTTGAATGAATTTGCGTGCAGGAATTCTTTGTTAAGCAGGATAACACCTGGACGACGTTCACTGTTAATATGGGAGTAGTTAAAATACAAAGAAAAGAAGAGTAATTCACATTATAATTATCAGAAAAATACGATTTACAATTTACTTGTATTTTCAAGCTGTTTAATCTTAAGAATAAATTTAGTTGTGTAATTTAAATTAGTATTGAAAACAAAAAGAACGTACTGTAAATAACAGAAGATAAAACGTCAGTTGAAATTGAAGAAATCCAGTTATAAATTGCATTTAAAGAATAATTTTCAAACAAGAGAACTTGAACAATATCAGTGAGTTGCTGCTCTGATCAGTTTGACTCGCAGGTTTCACACTTCAAGGATACAAGTTACTAAGTCTTCATAGTGGTACTCGTCATCAAGATGCCAGCACCATTATGCAAGTCGGCTGCTGTTCGAAGATACAACTTTCTTAAAAGTGCTTGAAATCTTACGCAAAATAAGTTTCCGAACTTGTAAAGAGCAACTATTATGAAGATGCGAGCAACTTTATGTCCGGGAACTTCTATCCAAGTAGAATTTTCATTCGCTTTAATAGCGCGTTTAGTCAATAGCAAACTAAAATCCTACTTGCATAACGGTACGCAGACATAAAAGTGCTCTTGCCTTTAAAAAATTGCTGTGTACAAGTTAGAAACTGAGGAACGATTTACTTTTATGCTGAGGTATCTTTATAAAGACTTCTGTCTTTTTGAACAGCAGCCGAACTGCATAAAAGTACTGGCACCTTTATGACAAGACAATGTTCTGAAGAGTTTCCTGGTAGTTTACATTAGCTTTCAAGTATTAAGCCGAGAGGTTTTGTTAAAAATAATCGAAAAAATTATAAGAATAGTGGATATATGCAGCTTTATCCCACTCATCATGATAAGTTACTTGAGCACTGAGCGTTCATACATAAGCTGGATTGTTCTGACTTTGCTAAACTAAATTAGCAGCCTTCAAGGTCCTAATGGGGCATTTTTTATGGTGTCAGATGTGATAAATCATAGGCAGTTGCTTCCTCAGACTCTTCGCCAGCTGCCTTAAAATAAAATGAAGGGGGGGGGAATCCCTGGGGTCTGAATAGTCTCTTTATGATAAAAAATAACAACCTGTTTCGGGACTCAGAAATATCCATATTTTTCCATTTACAGCGTTTTCAATCCCAATGCTTGTGATTACTGCAAGTAAACCTGTCTTACTGGGTCGCTGCCGCTTTTTCGATTTACAATTTATCTGTAGTTGTAAGAGGAATAACACCTGCTCAGTTTCAAACCTTCCAAAACATTTCGTTAAATAGTTATAATGAATTAATTAGAATTGCACCCATTTCATTTCGACGATGTTTGTAATTGGACCTTCCCCGTATTTGGGTATCAAATAAATCTTCCAGAGCTGCCGACGCTGTTCAAAAAACAGCGCACCATCTAATTTGCTGATCTGTCTGTGGATGAAGCCGCGGTTTCTGTAATGGGTGTTTATCTTTGCGCCCTCATACTTTATCCATATTAAACGAGGGCTTTCGTAGCCCGAAGCACCGCTTACAGTTTATAGCCAATCATCGTTACGCCTCTGGTGCCCCGGGACGAGTTAATCCTTCAAGTCACTGAATTGTAAATGGAGGCTGAAATTAATAGGCAAGCCAATCAAGAAATGGCTAATAACTTAACCACGGGATGTTAAAGTGTCACTGAGTTGATAGTTGGGAGTGATTAACGGTCTTTCCACAGGCTGATGGGTGACGATCGCGACATCCTCTCGGAACTTCTAGATGTCACATCGCCTCTTGATAAACTATCGGTACTTTGGCTGTGAAATTATGTAGTTATCCACCTACATTAACTGATGCTTCTACATTGCTGCAATTAACGATTGGTTTTGTTTCCTTTTTCGTTATTAATTGCCGTATTTTTGTCTTCAACAATTCGCCCTCCAAGTATTATTCCTAAAAAGATCTAGAAGAATATAAAATGCTCGAGACAGATAAAAAATATGCCATGTTTTGTAAGTCTGTTGGAAAGAAATATGCATCCAATGAATTTCTTATTTTGTAACATTCCACCGCGTTCTTATTTAAACTTTTATATTTCTGAACATTTGATATTAATGTTGCTGTGAAAAGCATCTATAGGGAATTTTAATCAAATATTTTGATTAGAATTTCTTACTTTCCTTAATACAAATTCGTCTAGGTCTTCGATAAAATTTGCAATCGCTTTCTTATCTCGGCTGAAATTTAAATTTTCGGAAACCGGAATTGGCAATCGATAAGTAATTTTATTCTGAGAGTTTTTTCTTTCTTTCTTCCGAAGAGGATAGTAGGCATTTTATATTCTAAATTGGAATCTATCGAATCAAACTCTTGGTTATATAAAGGAATATGTGTAATAGGCTGATAGCTTCAAGAGATTAAATATGTAAACAGATAAATGAATTGAACATTACTAATAAGATAACCGATTGGCCTTGTTATAGATGTACTATATATGTACAGCGGAGAATTTGTAGTTTAAAAAAAAAAATCAAGAGAATTTGAAATAGCGAATGTACTTATAAGGGAGTTTTATTGTGTTTATATTTGGAGTGAAATTATTTTACATGTTTTTAATAATTTATTGATTACATGTCTTTCATAAGCTAATAACGTCATTCATAATCTTTTTAAGAAATAATATAGTGTGTGTGATACAAAATAAAATCCAATTCCCCCTCCCCCCACTCGTTTTTCCAAACAAGAACAAAATTAAACCTTAATTTGGTATACTACACATGAAAAGGCTCTGATACCCCTCTACAAGACTGAAAATAAATTCAACACCTTTCTAACTTAAATTCAGCAACAGCGGCATCTGATCTTAAGAGCTAATGAGTACAAAAGCACTCGCGAAAGTTAGATCGGTAGATACTCGTGAAGGGCCGTAAAAATTAGCAGCCTTCTTGGCGCGTTCCCACAGCTCTCTCTCACCAAACTATAAATTCATCCGCTATTTAAACTGAGTTGCATTCTGATGAAATATGAAGCAACGATCTAGAAGTTACGGGAAAGAATTAACATAAAAGTAATGTGTTAGTAACATAAAACTTACCTAAGTACCTATAGCCTATTATCAATAATAAAAATGGCACCCTAATGGCTTGGGATAAGACCACTGAATGCTGATAGTTCGACCTGGGTTCTTATATGGACGAACTAGCTGGCTGCATGGGAGTTTCATAGTTTCATCCATGTGTAGCTTAAATGCAAGCTAGTTTTTCTTAGAATATTCTTCACTTTCCTTAAGCAGATAGGTGTTGTGTTCAATGTTGCACAATTAAACAAAAACAGTAACAAAAATAATAATGGAATGTTATTTTGTATATAATATGTATTCAGGGCTTTTATTCATCTTCGCTATATGTATGTTTTTGAAACCAATTTAAAATTAACCTTCAATTCATACAATCGTATTTAGGTAAGAGTTAATATTTTCGATGTAAAGAAACCAATTGAAAGAATATATTGAGACATTTAACTCAAAATTACATTACTATTTCATTATCGAGGTAAATATTCGTTAATTTTTACTCTTCAACTCGCATTTGGAAGACGGTACTAAAAATTACCAAAATGCGGATGGTATTTTAAAAGCAAATCATGACATTAGAAATGGTTTAACGTTTCTATAGCTAATATTTGATTGATTGTATTATTTTTTAAATAAATTAACTTGTGAATTTCACAAAGTTACTTTTTATATTCGGATTGTAAACTGGGCCATTTATTGTAAGAGAAACTGTAGGAAAACATTTCACTTACTTTAAAGAATGTTTTTGCTTTTCCTCTGTTGCACATTCAAGTGTTTTTTGAATGAAAATAAGAAACATCTGTGTTTCTTATGTACATACATTATGTATGATAAAAATTTTTTAGCTTACATAAATGTTATTTTTAATTAAAAATTTTACAAGGTAGACATTTTTTAGGGGACAAACCATTTTTACGATGATTTTGAGAATTTTTCTTTTAGCAATATTTGTGTGCTTTTATCAGAATAAATACCGTGCATACTTGATTGGGTGTTGTCATAGAATTTACGCTTGATTTTTATTATAAATGTCATCATATTTTGAAAAATTAAAAATTTAAAATAAAGTTAAAAAAAAATCAGTAACAAATATCAGCAGAATACCTAAAGTGAAACAAGGCATAAAAAACTGCAGTAGTGTAAACTGACAAAACATAAACCTTCCAATCTGAATAACAAGCTTACTCAAGACTGACACTGATGACTTTCGTAAGATTGAGCGATGAGGTTGGTAACAGAAGGCTGAGATGCTATTTTAGGATCGGGAACAATAAAATGAGAAGCTCTTGGAATGCTGACTTTTTATGTATACTACATATTTTAAAAGTTTTCCTCTTGTTTACAGTCATTTTGAAAGGAAACGAGAGAGTAATGTCTTGGTATCCGCGGCTGAGACGTTCCAGCCAAAGCCTCGAAAAATATAAATATTTATATAAATGCTCGGTATTCTTATAACAGATATAAATTCTCTATCTTACTTGTTGTATTTAAGGCTATCAATAATTTTAATTATTTATTCGCACTACGAGTTTACCAGATTTAAAGGAAATGTACTGAAAACAGTTGTGCATTTCCTCTTTCTTTAATCTTTCTAACCCATCAGTGGTTGAGTGGATAAGGCTTTTGAACGCTGGTCGAACCTGTGTTTTGAACCCGTGTTTAAATTCTGGCGAACATAATGGTTGCATGAACATTATCGTGATTTAAGG